TTACCCTTGTTTAACTATACTGCAACGAAAAGGGGGTGGGGGTGCAACCGACCTTTCAATGAACATTTTCAATTGTAAAAAGCTATGTTTGGAAAAAAAAAAGGGCGGCAGCCCCCACCTCACCTCGACCCCTATGCTACGTACCTGTATCATGAAAAAGTCTCGACATTCAAATTGTCCGTGGACGTTGACAATGTTATACAATATTCAGTGAAACATGTTCGTTTAATACGTGTTTGCATTACGATTTGAAAAATGAATTCCAACTTTTCTGAATCGAAAATTCATATCCCCTTTGATAAAGCATAGAATAACAAAGCTGTGGGTTTTTTTTTACCAAATGCTCAAATGTGTCTATAATTCTTCAAAAAGAGAGAATGATAGGCAATATGTGAAAAAGTGAATAATGCTTATAACACTGACCACAGAAGAACTAAGGATGAGGTGATGAAGAACTGGTGTTCTTACATGAGGAAAACAACGTCATCAAGGATAAATAGCAAAGGAAAGGGTTAAATTTGAAATAAAATATTAATAACTCCTTAAAAAATTGCCCTTTAATGTTTTGTTTTATCAAAGAGAGAGAGAGAGAGAGAGAGAGAGAGAGAGAGAGAGAGAGAGATGTATAATTAAGGAAACATAGATATATTGATGTAGATAAAATTTGATGAACTAATATATTTAGATATATTTAATGCATTTTCTTTTGCAGTATTTGGTCAACAGTCAATGAAAATTATTGTCAATGTGCCTGAACTCTTTATCAGGTCTAATACGGCGATTTCGACTAGCCACAAGCAACATAGACACGGCATTTTTTCTTAAGATCAACCTAGGATACTTCAGTCTTAATCTTAAGACGATTCTCAAGAATTTTCTTTAGATAAGACACTTTCGCGAAGAAGTGAAATGAGTCCTACATGTTAGTACATGTATATCTTAGGACGATTTTGAATCTTAAGATACATTTTGTAGCTTCGTAAACATGCATGCCTGCTGGTTTTCCGGGAAAAGGATATCTTATGTTCTGAGGGTATTCCTGGTCCCAGATATAAAAGTACTTTTTATTGGTGTCTTTCCATTGCCTTGCTTCCTACGCTTTGTCCCTAGTTCTGTCCGATAACAATGAACCCCAACATGGCATCACCCTCCAATCAAGGTATACCTACGATTGTATTATTTATGGGCTCAGTCCCCATTTCTGCAGAACAGGAGTTCTATACCTAACTCTATAAAGTATCAATTTTAAAGTCTCTAATTTTCATGCTTTTGGTCAAAAATCTTAATAGCATTAGCTTTTAAATCTTATTACTCAGTATCGATGGGTTTCTATTCTGATCAATTCCATTACAAAAGAATTTTCAAAATTATAGTTCACTGTACCATCATCCAATCCAATTTGTTCTAACAATACTTACAAATTGTACAAGCAAAGACTGGCATTGTATTGCAGCTCTGATTAATATATGTTAAATGAAAGTTTCTTTTCCAATTATAAAGTCACTGTATTTTGTACACTATTAATGTTCATCCTGTTTTGATAAACTTAAGTCTTTTATTTAATTTTACTGTCACCAACAAGTTCACTATTAATAATTAAAATGATTATGATATAAATATATTCTAAGTTTTAAATTTTGAAATAAAATGTCAGTTGTAAACCTAATAGGTTTACACTATCAAGGGTTTTTGGATCATTAAGCTCCCCTGCCTGTAGCGAAAACCCTTTCTAAAGCGGATGGTACATGAAAAGAATCCCTCCTCTCCAAAGATATACGATTTTCGCATCTGGGTATAATTTATATTTAATTCAAAGTATTTCCGAGTGGGATTTTTTTTAAATCGGTTATCATCCAACCATCCCACTCCGGAGAAAAATTCCTTGAAACACTTGATTTTATTAACTCAATTATAGACTTTTACAGTGTGTACGGAAACCGGTAGATACAAAATATTTATGAACAATTTCTTAAACGAGGCAAGCTATTGGTAAAGAAGTTGATGAAACAAGGATTTCAACCGATTAGTTTAACGCCATCATTTCGCAAGTTCTATTGTCGATACGATGACCTTGTCAGCAATTACAATCTATCATTAATCGAGTGCTGACAGACGTTTTTCATACTAATTGTTAGGCCATTTTTACACACTGAATTGTCTATGGATTTTTCCGTTTGCCTATTCATGACAATAAGCACACGACAGGTGTGATCAGTCGACAGGGGATGCTTACTTTTTCGAAATTTATGGCATCTGATTCCACATCTGATGTGTTTATAGGTCTGTATTTGTTTTGCTCCCGATTTGTATTGTATCAATGGACTTTTGAGCTTGATTACTGTTCGTTATCTCCATATTTCATTAAAACAGTTGCATAGGTCAGTGCAGTACACAAAAAACACAAATACACGTAAACTGCAATAAAATGTAAACAACTGTAATGTAAGATAACCAACACGAACGGTCGCCCGCGTGGCGCAGTAATTAGAGCGTCTGCTCTAGAGTCGCGGAGTAAGGAGTTGATCCTTATCTCGCGGGTTCGAATCCCACTGCGGGACGTGGAGACCGGTCCTTCGATGAGACTGTATAAACCGGGGTCCCGTGTCGTAGTAGGTGCTGGCATGAAAAAGGCCCCTCACTGCTCAATGACCCTGAGTGCAGAGTATAGGTCAAATTTTGTAGCCCTCCACCGGCAAATGGTGGCGTCTCCATATGAGTGAAAAATTCTCGAGAGGGACGTTAAACAACAAACAGACAAAAACCAATACGGACACGCTTCGTCCATGTGACCCGTGACAAAAAAGTAGTCAGGTGTAACAAATGCTAAGGGTATACCCTAGTGTTGATATCGGATATATGAGTATGGTGTATGCGTATTTACGAGTCGTGTTCAGCTTTAAGTACCCCTCTCCCCCTCGGTTTGTGCGTTAAGGGTGCCATATTTATCTTTGTACTTTATATTTTACAATACGTGATAACATTATGATATGAAAATTTCTATTTAATATTTCTTATCTTTGTTCCTTATTATGATTATGACTTAATAACATTATGAATGTTTGAATTTGTAATATAATGTATGAGTCCGATCCTTTACAATAGTCCGACTATGTTTAAGTTCAATTTAACTGACAAGGAGATTCCAAAATTGAAGTATTTCGAGTTTAAATTCCGGATTATTAAGAATCATTCTCGTTGTTAATTAATTAATGAACAATAAAAGAGAAAAATAAAGGTTCGAATTGTAAACTTTAGTTAGGTACAATGTTATAACATTCAAAGCAAAACACAGTTCTATACTGATTTACCGATATTAAATCACAATATCAAGTCCATGATCACAAGCTAGTCTCGGGCATAATTATCAGCATGAAGAGATATGGAAATCGATTCAAAGTCAAAAATGTGAAAATTCCTTAACCAAGGCAGACTACTGATAAATAAGTTGATGTTACAAAGGTATTAATACTCTAGTTACAAGTCATAATTTTGCAAACTCTATGGTCGATACAATTATCGTATTTGCATTTACAACCTGTACATGTAGTTTGGTCGATTTTTGACGGTCGTTTTTCAATCAAATTATTAGGCCCTTAATTTCATACTGTATTGCTTACGGTTTACACCGTTCATCCAATCAAAATAATGGGCTCAGGGCGGGTGTACCCACTCGACAGAGGTAACATACTTTTCCATCCTAATGTTAGCTCTGATATTTTCAAAGGTCCATGTTTGCTCTGCTCGAGCTCTTAATTTGCATTGTTTAATTGGACATCTGAACATGATCAATGTTTGTTATCCTCACATTTCTGACTACTGTTCGTTATTTTAACGTTTCTATTTTGAACAGTACACAGAAAATTTGTTATACTGTTCCTTTTTTTTTTTTTTTTTTTTTAATTTTCAATCATAAAGTTTTATCCGCTTCCAGTATAATGCATTGTGTATTTTACAGGCATAAACAAAAAAGTTCTAAATACTATATTCTTTGATAGCTTTTCGAACTCGATATATATTACCCGAATTCTATATTGATTTCTTTGTCTTAATACTTAAAAATAATATTTAAAAAAAAATATTTTTGAGTTTTATGCGAATCCTCTTCAAGTAGAGTAATATTATTGATGACCTTTGGCGTTAACTAAACATTTCTAGAGAAACGTTGCCACTGTCTTTCTATTTTGGAAATGGTGAAAAAAAGTGTTTAAACTCAAAATGAATAGCAATAGTCTTTAAAGTAACTTTCCACTTGCAGCAAAGCCAGGAAATATACATGAAAGCGCCTTAGTAAACCACTTAATTGACACAAAACCATCGTTTTGGACAGACTATCCGACTAGATGTTGAAGGAAGAGTGTAAAGAAAATCCAAACAGAAAATACGTTGAAGCAAAATTGTTTAGCAATAAACAGAAACTGAACTTTGAAAACATTAAAAAAAGGGGGGGGGCAGCAGAGGCCTTGTTATTTTTCATCCTAGTATATTATGATTTATATACACATATTATTACATTCCATTGTGCAAACAAAATACGTTGCATGAATAATTGATCCTTTCCGTTCTTTAACAACACATTAAAGAAACAAAACAAAAGTGAGGAGATATTCCAGGTGTAAAATTACTTGGTGCTGTCCATTCTTAAACAATAGCCTATGAGCATTTGAGATCACCTTAAAGTAGGAGAAACCTCTTACACTGTCCATTCTGAAAGAGGAAGAACTAATCTCGGGCCTATAGTCCTATAGCTAGACCAGTTCTTTCTTTCACAAAATGGACATATTTTGATTTTTCTCTTTAACAGATCTGTAAAGCTTTAGAGTTTCCTTACAAACATCAGTATTTTAAGCATTGGTATAGCCTTGAACTCTTATATTATTCTATCCAATTAATATAATATTGATGTCATATATTGTCAATAACCTTTCAATTTGGTTAAAAATTTCCGTATTTTATTTTCAATTTACATAGTTTCCTGTTGGAATATTATCTTAAGCTTGTCTGTCGATAATAACTATTCCAGTCCGTTATGGCAGTGGACACTTACTACTCACATAACCGAAGTGTTATTCGTCGAGCACGTGCGGGGGATTTATTAGAATTCAACCGTGGATGGTACTCCCATTGGGCAGTCTACATTGGTAAAAGATTTTTATACATAGTGATAAACTTAACCAAGATTTAAGGATCTGATAACATATATGAATCATTTAAAGAAAAATACATCAGGCTATATTTACCAACTTTAAATTCTTAGAAAAGAGAATAGAATGTACAATACGTAAATGATAAACTATTTTTCAAGGGAACGAAGAGATCGTGCATCTTGGTGGTATCGACAATGATGGAATCAATGGTACCTTAAAATCCAATCACGTTTTCACGATCTGCGGGAAAACATTTAACAAAGCTGTAGTGAAGAAAGAGAACTTCTGGAAAGTGGTATTTGACTCCAAAGTCGAAATCAACAACACTAAAGACAGAAAATGCAGGTAATTTTTTTTCTTTTAAATTAAGATTTCCAGATTTAATTTGTAACTTTCAACGTTTCTTATCAAGAGAACATTTCAATGAATAACTTTTTCATTCCAGGCCCAAACCAGCTCATGTGATTGTTAGAGAAGCACTGAATAAGCTTGGAGAGATTGGTTACAATGTTCTCTGGAAGAACTGTGAACATTTCGCAGCTTTCTGCAGATATGGTGTCAGCTGGTCAGAACAGGTGTATTTCATTTACAGTTAGCGGTATCCAGGATTTATCTTTTTTACTGGAATACTCGAACTCACAGTAGGGCATTCTGGGAAAAGAATCGTGTCAGTTTCGTTTAATCATCTTAAAATTCATATATCTTAGGTTTCTTCCGAAGGTCGGAAAAACAACCTCGAATGTGTTTAAAAAGCGTTCACGACAACCTTTTTCACAAACATTGAAATAAATATAGGAAGACCTCTTAAATAGCGAGCCTGGGTCTAACCTTCATTTATGTGAGATGTACGATATATAACATAAAATAGACCACAGAAGAAAATGTCAACTTTGTCCAGCCAATACTCCATTTTCTATTTAATGAATTTTTAACATTGAGTTATGTAAGGTTTTCTGAGCCTCTCAGAAAGGCCTGACAAGATGTGATTGCTGTAAAACAGTACCACATTGGAATATTTTAAACAAGTGGTTTATTGGTTCTATCGATCTTTTAAAATTAATATATTTTCCACCTCAATGTTGAAATTATAGTGAATACAGATTACTTAAGCACAGTGATACCATTGCCGGCATGAAGCCCACTCTTAGTGCACCACTGTGTCTTCCTATTGATCATCTTACGATTTAGCAAATTAAACCAATAGTTCTGAAATCTACTACTTTGTTTTAAAGACCTAACTCATCTAACGTTTTAAAAGAATAACTTGTAATAGTTTTAATTAACTCAAAAGACAGGACATGCTTAGTTCTCCATGGCACCTGATCCAATACCTGATGTTTTAAGAGGTCCATGTTTGCTCTGCTCACAATTTGCATTGCTTCATTGATCGCTCTTCGTTTTCTTCACATTTTACACTCACTAGAATTATGACTTTGATTACTGTACGTTATCTTCACATTTTACATTCATTAGAATTATGACTTTGATTACTGTACGTTATCTCCACATTTTACATTCACTAGAATTATGACTTTGATTACTGTACGTTATCTCCACATTTTACATTCACTAGAATTATGACTTTGATTACTGTTTGTTATCTTCACATTTTACATTCACTAGAATTATGACTTTGATTACTGTACGTTATCTTCACATTTTACATTCACTAGAATTATGACTTTGATTACAGTTCGTTATCTTCACATTTTACATTCACTAGAATTATGACTTTGATTACTGTTCGTTATCTCCACATTTTACATTCACTAGAATTATGACTTTGATTACTGTTCGTTATCTCCACATTTTACACTCACTAGAATTATGACTTTGATTACTGTTCGTTATCTCCACATTTTACACTCACTAGAATTATGACTTTGATTACTGTTCGTTTTCTTCACATTTTACATTCACTAGAATTATGACTTTGATTACTGTTCGTTTTCTTCACATTTTACACTCACTAGAATTATGACTTTGATTACTGTTCGTTTTCTTCACATTTTACATTCACTAGAATTATGACTTTGATTACTGTTCGTTTTCTTCACATTTTACATTCACTAGAATTATGACTTTGATTACTGTTCGTTATCTCCACATTTTACACTCACTAGAATTATGACTTTGATTACTGTTTGTTATCTCCACATTTTACACTCACTAGAATTATGACTTTGATTACTGTTCGTTATCTCCACATTTTACACTCACTAGAATTATGACTTTGATTACTGTACGTTATCTTCACATTTTACATTCACTAGAATTATGACTTTGATTACTGTTCGTTATCTCCACATTTTACACTCACTAGAATTATGACTTTGATTACTGTTCGTTTTCTTCACATTTTACATTCACTAGAATTATGACTTTGATTACTGTTCGTTTTCTTCACATTTTACACTCACTAGAATTATGACTTTGATTACTGTTCGTTTTCTTCACATTTTACATTCACTAGAATTATGACTTTGATTACTGTTCGTTTTCTTCACATTTTACATTCACTAGAATTATGACTTTGATTACTGTTCGTTATCTCCACATTTTACACTCACTAGAATTATGACTTTGATTACTGTTTGTTATCTTCACATTTTACACTCACTAGAATTATGACTTTGATTACTGTTTGTTATCTCCACATTTTACACTCACTAGAATTATGACTTTGATTACTGTTCGTTATCTTCACATTTTACATTCACTAGAATTATGACTTTGATTACTGTTCGTTATCTTCACATTTTACATTCACTAGAATTATGACTTTGATTACAGTTCGCTATCTTCACATTTTACACTCACTAGAATTATGACTTTGATTACTGTTTGTTATCTTCACATTTTACATTCACTAGAATTATGACTTTGATTACTGTACGTTATCTTCACATTTTACATTCACTAGAATTATGACTTTGATTACTGTACGTTATCTTCACATTTTACATTCACTAGAATTATGACTTTGATTACTGTACGTTATCTTCACATTTTACACTCACTAGAATTATGACTTTGATTACTGTTCGTTTTCTTCACATTTTACACTCACTAGAATTATGACTTTGATTACTGTTCGTTATCTCCACATTTTACATTCACTAGAATTATGACTTTGATTACTGTTCGTTATCTCCACATTTTACACTCACTAGAATTATGACTTTGATTACTGTTCGTTATCTTCACATTTTACATTCACTAGAATTATGACTTTGATTACTGTACGTTATCTTCACATTTTACATTCACTAGAATTATGACTTTGATTACTGTTCGTTATCTCCACATTTTACATTCACTAGAATTATGACTTTGATTACTGTTTGTTATCTTCACATTTTACATTCACTAGAATTATGACTTTGATTACTGTTCGTTATCTTCACATTTTACATTCACTAGAATTATGACTTTGATTACAGTTCGCTATCTTCACATTTTACACTCACTAGAATTATGACTTTGATTACTGTTCGTTATCTTCACATTTTACACTCACTAGAATTATGACTTTGATTACAGTTCGTTATCTTCACATTTTACACTCACTAGAATTATGACTTTGATTACTGTTCGTTATCTTCACATTTTACACTCACTAGAATTATGACTTTGATTACTGTTCGTTATCTCCACATTTTACACTCACTAGAATTATGACTTTGATTACTGTACGTTATCTCCACATTTTACACTCACTAGAATTATGACTTTGATTACTGTACGTTATCTTCACATTTTACATTCACTAGAATTATGACTTTGATTACTGTACGTTATCTTCACATTTTACATTCACTAGAATTATGACTTTGATTACTGTTTGTTAACTTCACATTTTACATTCACTAGAATTATGACTTTGATTACTGTTTGTTATCTTCACATTTTACATTCACTAGAATTATGACTTTGATTACTGTACGTTATCTTCACATTTTACATTCACTAGAATTATGACTTTGATTACTGTTCGTTATCTCCACATTTTACACTCACTAGAATTATGACTTTGATTACTGTTTGTTATCTTCACATTTTACACTCAGTAGAATTATGACTTTGATTACAGTTCGCTATCTTCACATTTTACATTCACTAGAATTATGACTTTGATTACAGTTCGCTATCTTCACATTTTACATTCACTAGAATTATGACTTTGATTACTGTTTGTTAACTTCACATTTTACATTCACTAGAATTATGACTTTGATTACTGTACGTTATCTTCACATTTTACATTCACTAGAATTATGACTTTGATTACTGTACGTTATCTTCACATTTTACATTCACAAGAATTATGACTTTGATTACTGTTTGTTATCTTCACATTTTACATTCACTAGAATTATGACTTTGATTACTGTACGTTATCTTCACATTTTACATTCATTAGAATTATGACTTTGATTACTGTTCGTTATCTCCACATTTTACATTCACTAGAATTATGACTTTGATTACTGTACGTTATCTTCACATTTTACATTCATTAGAATTATGACTTTGATTACAGTTCGTTATCTCCACATTTTACATTCACTAGAATTATGACTTTGATTACTGTTTGTTATCTTCACATTTTACATTCACTAGAATTATGACTTTGATTACTGTTCGTTATCTCCACATTTTACACTCACTAGAATTATGACTTTGATTACTGTTTGTTATCTTCACATTTTACACTCACTAGAATTATGACTTTGATTACTGTACGTTATCTCCACATTTTACATTCACTAGAATTATGACTTTGATTACTGTACGTTATCTTCACATTTTACATTCACTAGAATTATGACTTTGATTACTGTACGTTATCTCCACATTTTACACTCACTAGAATTATGACTTTGATTACTGTTTGTTATCTTCACATTTTACACTCACTAGAATTATGACTTTGATTACTGTACGTTATCTCCACATTTTACATTCACTAGAATTATGACTTTGATTACTGTTTGTTATCTTCACATTTTACACTCACTAGAATTATGACTTTGATTACTGTTTGTTATCTTCACATTTTACATTCACTAGAATTATGACTTTGATTACTGTACGTTATCTCCACATTTTACATTCACTAGAATTATGACTTTGATTACTGTACGTTATCTTTACATTTTACATTCACTAGAATTATGACTTTGATTACTGTTTGTTATCTTCACATTTTACATTCACTAGAATTATGACTTTGATTACTGTACGTTATCTTCACATTTTACATTCACTAGAATTATGACTTTGATTACAGTTCGTTATCTTCACATTTTACATTCACTAGAATTATGACTTTGATTACTGTTTGTTATCTCCACATTTTACATTCACTAGAATTATGACTTTGATTACTGTTTGTTATCTTCACATTTTACACTCACTAGAATTATGACTTTGATTACAGTTCGCTATCTTCACATTTTACATTCACTAGAATTATGACTTTGATTACTGTTTGTTATCTCCACATTTTACACTCACTAGAATTATGACTTTGATTACTGTTTGTTATCTTCACATTTTACACTCACTAGAA